CCGTCGATAAAATAATTGTTGTCTGTGTTATGGGCTGTGGTAATAATAATAATAATAAAACAAAAGCTCGCAACAATATGGAAAAAAAAAAAATATTCCGCAAACAAGTGACGTCGTTGACCGTTGATTACTCTTCTGCGCATGCGGGTCACTTCTGGGTTATTTCACGTTCACACAGGAGATCACAAAAGGTCGCATTTAATTGGAAATGTGAACGGCCTTGCAAAAAAATCGAATTTTTTCAAAAAATCAGAATTGAGCATTAAGCCCTGCAGTGTGAACGTAGCCCTAATCAAAGCCATCAACTTTGAACTTGAAAGCGTATGAGTGGTTTTAGGTTTTCAGGTGCACTGTCTGGGTGCACAAGGAAATTTCTTGTATGCTTGTGTACTGCTTGTTCTTCACAAAGATTGAACCGCCTGCACAGTCGTTTCACTTCTGCCTAACCATTTTTAACCTTTCTTTAACCAGGAAAGTCCCATTGAGGTTAAACACCTCTTTTTCAAGGGAGTCCTGGCCAAGAGGCAGCAAAAACACAATTAATTACATTTATAAAGGATATACAACACAAATAATTAAAAACATTTACAAAAACATTTCTCTCAATCTGGAGTTAAAAACATTTAAAGCTACACTGTGTAACTCTTTTAGTTTATTCTTAGCTAAAAACACACAAAAATATGTGTGCTCATTAATGTATATTTACTTCGTTCAAGCAATAAAGTATTCTCGTGAGTGTATAATATGCCATTGGAAATACATACGGGTAAGGGTTTCTAATGTCGGTTGCCATGTTGACCCTCCATCTTGAAAGTACATTAGCCAAAGAGGGACATACCCGTTAATTCAAGCTTCGCCTTTCGCGTTTACGTTTCATTTAACACTCATGGACGAAGTCGAACTGGAAGCCATGTTAATCTTGGACTACATTGGCCACCGTAGGAGTTAAAACGGAATCGGAATTGAAAGGAACAGAAACTAATATTCACTGGATGGTCATATATCTTTACACTGCTAGATGGGGGTAAAAATTACACAGTGTAGATTTAAAGAAATAAGTTCAGATCATTTCAAGTCTTTTTGCAAAAAAAAATCCATGCAGAAGGAGCGTAAACAAAAGCCCCTTTTCCCAGTTCTGTACAGGCAAATGCAATAAAGAGCAGCAAGTGATCATTTGATGGCAATGATTAAGAACCAACACTTCTCCATGTGGTTAAACTACTGATGTAGGATGGCAACAGACCAAGCATGGCCTTATAGATAAAAATATGCCAATGCCCTGATCTCCTGTTGAACAACGATAGCCATCCCACTCTGTAATATACGTAATTCACAATTTTTTTTTTTTTTTACAATTTGTAATAAATCTCAGAGATGCATGATAAACAGTGTCAATCTTATGCAGACATTGTGCTGATGGTCCTATATACCAAGTCACCATAATCAGATAAGCAGATAAAAATATTGCAGTGATTAGCTGTTTTTTTTTTTGCTTTAAAAGAAAAAAAACAACATTTATTTAGAAAGAAAAAAGACAGCTTAAGTTTGAGTTTCTTCACAAGGTTATCTATATGAGGTTTAGAAGAGAGCATTATCAAGCAAAATGCCAAGGGAATGAACCACCTTGAGAAACCTTCTTAGTATTACTAAACAGCATTTTAGTTTGGTCTTATCAGTTTGGTCTTATCAGCATTGAGCTTCATCAGCGTGTGTTTAACCACATCAAAAGCTTTCTGCAAAGATGCAACTGATCGAACCAAAACAATAAATAATCTTGTCATCAGCATAGAAATGCATATTAACCTCAGGCACATTTTGGCCCAGTTCATTTATATACATAATAAACAAGTGAGAACCCAATATTGAGCCTTGTGGCACCCCCTTGTTGACCTTCACTAATGCAGAACATAAACCATCACATTTATCCTGTCACTCAGATAATTCAAACCAGGAATGTGCACTATCGGCCAATCCCAGACAAAGTTGCCTATGCTTTAAAACAGCATTGTCCACTGTGTCAAAAGCCTTCGACAGATCAAGAAAAAGTGATGCACAGAATTGCTTTCTATCAAGGGCAACAAGTATGTCGTTAATTACTTTTGTAACAGCAGTGATGGTACTGTGCTTTTTCTGAAGCCTGATTGCAGTTTAGAAAGAAGTTCATTTGAGTATAAAAACTCTTTTATTTGGTCTGAAACAAGGAATTCTAGATTGTCGAACAAGGGAAATTAGATATAAGCCGCTAATTAGTTAAAACTGCTGGATCACCTCCTTTAAACAAAGAAATAACAAAAGCTGACTTCCAAACTGATGGTATGTCATTGTTTTGAATTGACAAATTAAAAAGAATTGTAAGGGGCTCAGCAACAAAATCAGCCGCGTTTAAAAAAAAATAAGGCTCTATTAAATCTGATCCAGGAGGTTTTCTGTGATCTAATGCTTTAAGAGCTCCATGCACCTGCTGCACAGTAAAATAAACACAATTAAAAGGCTCTGCAGAAAACACTGGGGTGTATGTGCATGGAGTGACAGTGACTGCTCCTGTCGACTCGGACAGAGATACAAAATGCTCATTAAAAGCAATTTAAGACATCAACTTTGTCATAGACTGGGAGAGAGTTTTTAAGACAAAATTTGGGAAGGCTTCATTACTTTTATTCACAGATAGAGACTTGATGACTTTCTAATATTTCTCACTTCTCAATTTTCACTTGTGACTGATAAATAATATTCTGATTTAGCCTTTTTAATAAGAGGTACATTAGTACTGAAAATGGACCAGTCAGTGGCAGAATCTCCAAGCTTTACCCTTTGCCACATTTCGCTGATGGATAATGTCTGACAACCATGCCGTATGCCAGGTGTTGATGGCCAATTGTCGGTATACAAAACGCTGAGATCACGAAGCATTTCACCCTTAAATGAGAGGTGCTTCTCCATGTTGTTGATCACTCTGATGGTGCGCTTCAGAAGCTGGTCTGCTCTCAAGAACATGATTGAATGTACCTGGAGTTGCCGAGACAGGTTTGCAAGTTCAGACAGTGCATCATAGAGGAGTCCAAGGTCACACAGGAATTCCTTGCTTTGCATAGGATGTGCCAGGCCTCTGTAAGTTTGTCTCTCTTTGCCGTTTCTTGTTTGGTCTCCTGCAGCATTTTCAAAGTGTCTGTTTGGTGCTTCATACAACCTCCACACAGCCTTTACAGAGCGGAAGCTGCTGGCCACCCATACTTAAAACTCTGCTAATTTGTGCCATGTATTGTGAACCCACTCCTTGCGCTGCTTCCAGAAGCTCCCATTAAATTTAATTGGGCTTACTGTAGAGATTATGGATCTTATCCATGAACGCTTTAAAATGATTGACTACCTGCACCTCATCCACAGCATCAGATACAGACAGTTCCAAATGGTGTGAAGAGGCTAGGGTACCTTGCAGTCATCCTGGTTGCCACACCAGAGTTCTTGCCTAACATGACACTGGCTCCATCTGAAAAAAATGGGACCCAGTTCTTTTGAAGCCACTCTTCACTGAAGCCTCCAAACAGTCAAGTAGAGCTTTTTCTAAATCGCCTGCCCTTTGGCGCTCCTGCTCAACCAGATCCAAAAATACAAATTCAGTAGTGGCTACCTCTACTGAGGCTTTTAAGTTGACTTTTGAAGTAAAGGTTCTGTGGTAAGGCAATAAAGCATACCAGACATGGTACTGTACATCCCTGCCTAACTCCCCACTCAACTTTGAGCAGAGTAAACAAACCACCATTAATGTTAGTTAACTCCCAGGAGTTTAGAAGCATCCAAAACATCTCTAAATAAAGCAATATTATCAAAAATAGACCTGTGGGGAATGGACTGATCAGAATGTATCAATTTGCTCAAAACTTTACTGAGTCTTATAGCCAAAGTTTCAGACAAATTGTTGTATTCTGACCGTAAGAGTGAAACAGGGTGCCAATCGCCGATACACTGAAGACCCCCTTTTTAGGTAACAGCTGCTCTTCTGCGGCTTAGGTGCAATAGTTTACAATCATGGTTGTTTTTGAATGGGGTTTTGCTAAATTGCCTGAAATAAGGTCTGTGGTGAACAAAGCCTCTAAAAATATTTTCACGTTTTGATCTATGACATAAAAAACACCAGTTATAACCTACTTGTGTTTTTTTTTTACTTTATTGTGTCTGCTTATGTTTTTTTTTAAAAAAAATAAAAAAAAATTACATAGGCTTCAACATGTACATCAAGTTCAATCCGAAATGCGTCCGAAAAAAAATGTAACTAAGAAAATACTCTTCACAGAGACCAAAAGATTTCTCTTTATGAAGCTGAAATCTCTTCTTTTAAATGAAGTAATTTATATAAAAAACAACTATTCTCAGTTGATGTAATCTGTATGAAAAGAGAGAGATTTCAGTCTTTTTCTTTTTACCTAATAATAGCGTAATTTGACAACCCCCACCGAGAGCTATTCAAATGCTAATGTTGAGGCAAGCCATGAAAACGCCCACATCAGCTGGATAAAACATCCAGTTTAATTCAAATTTTACCTCGTCCTTACCTTTACCTTGTCTTGCTGAGCAGTGAGGAATAATACTATCTAATAATCCAGGAAAAGTTACCTCAGAAGTGCTGGTAGTTTCATTTCGAGGAGCACGGATTCAGCTGATGTATAATCATTTATTATTAAGTGCTTTGTTCAAATCGCGTTATTGAATAGTGTCTGTAAACTGCACAAAGACTGTTTAAATACCTTTAATTGCTCATTGTTGCAGTTAGTCTGACACTCCCAGCCATGCTGGCATGCATTTTTGTCTTAACTGCACTTTGACCAGATAATTGCTGCTTGCAGCTATATTTATTATTATGTCTGATAGCTGCAATAATGTTGTAATCAAGTCAATTGTGATGGCGTTTGTGTAGAACTGCAATTCTCATAAACAGGAAATGAGTGTATTTGGTTTTTGAAAACCATTTGATTGGATGATCAAATGAAAGTCTAGCTTTGTGTTAGTCTTCCTTGTTTATTTGAATGTAAATAATCCAGAACCAACACGCTAAAAACACAAAACACAAGCACACACAAAAACAATATCTCAAATAAAATACAAAGATGAGCAGAAGCTGCCGATTAAGCAGGTGGCAGAGTAGAAAAAAAAATATTTTGTTCAATATGTAAATTAATTACAATGAGAAATTAATCTAGTAGATGTATTACAATCAATGTTTTTTTTCCCCTATGGCATCATATTAATACTTAATATTTATATTTGCAAGTAAAGCAAATCAAACAAACCATACTTTGATTACTACGGATAATTGTCACTTCTTACTCTTCGTTATCCGTACTAGACAAAGTGCCGTGCTAATGCAATCTTTTTTAATAAAAGCATATGTCATTTACAGTAGCTGCCTCAGTGCAAATATAGAAACTCCAACATGATGTTGATTGCTGACATAATGGTTCAGAGTCCTGGAGAGGCAGAAACATATAAGTTCAAAATCCGTTTTTATAATAATAATTGTTACAGATATAGCACTTTTCTCTGTACTCAAAGCGTCTTTTTATACTTGAAATTGTTAAAGGGACAATGTGTACTTTTTTAGGTATTTTATTATCTAAAATTAATTTTTGCATTCATAAATGTCCTCAATGGTGTACAAATACCTCTGCCAATTATCTGACTTTTCCTCGTAAACGAAGAATTTATTATCTTTATATACATGGGACGGGTAGGTCCACGGAGGCTTCCATGTAGTTCCGCCATCTTGAAAAACTATAGTAGCAGAGAGGGACGAAGAGTACTAGGCCAACGCATTTCCACAGTGTGTTTTCGTTCAGAGCTAGCGTGACGTAACTGAAAGCAGCAGAAACGGAGGAGCACAGCAGTGAGAGGTGCTTGTCACTGTCCCGGCAAGTTTCACAGTCAGTAATTCATACTGTAACATTCGTTTGTTCATTGAGTTAAGTTGGAGTTTGTTTGAAATAAATAAAAAAAAAATATTCATCTTAAGGAACACTTGACGAAGTGCTATTAGAAGACATCCTGTCATAGCTTTTTGGTACATAACGGCTACCATAGATGCAACGTGCATTTGAAAAATATAGGTGCTGGAGAGCACAATACATTTGAATGCAAAATACAATTTCACTAGACTGACTTCGTCATACTCATATTCTTGTCGAAATATGTTACTCAAGTGTTACTACATGATCTAGTCATGATTTGTGCAACCGTTTGAGATTTTTGGTGAACTTTAGTATACTTTTAGAAAATGTCTTTAGTAACACTTGAGTAATTATTAGTTAGTTCCAATGATCTTCACTTTATAATACGAATCCAAATAATTAGTAACTCCCACAGAAGTATCTAGTAACACTTTCATCTGTGAGCTATTACTTACTAATTCGTTAATAAGAATTTATTATAGTTAATAGTAGTTACTAGATTGTTAATAAACTTTTTCAGTAGTTCTCTGGGAAATATTAAAAAAAAATAGTAGTTATTGATTACTTAATAGTGAACTACCACTTTCGTCTGTGCGCTATTACTTACTAGTTCATTAATCAGAGTTTCTTGTTAGTTAATAATAGTTACTAGATTGTTAATATTGTGTTACTCGTTAGTTCTTGTGTAGTTATTCATTAATGAAGGAACCGTATTCTAAAGTGTTACCGCAATTTGATATGCCCGAACATCTTTTGCCTGATCATTACTCCTCAATGGATCAAGTCCAGACCGAACTTCCCGACCAAAAAATGTTGTGGGCGGAGTTCGGGCTGGTATCCAGGCTACAATTTCACGGCTAGATGGGATAAATTCATACACATTGTCCCTTTAACCTAGAGTCTCAAGTTTCAATATTTCACACTGTACATTTAAAAACCTGGATGGGACTTTTTATTTGCATATTTACATATTACTTATAAGGTTACTTTTTATGACAGTACAAAGTGCATGAATATTTAATAAAACATTGAGGCAGTTTATGACCCAGGGTTAAAAGATATTAACTCATGCTAAGTGTTTAAAACGGCTTTAAACTAACTTCATTTTACTACCTTTAAATGATGTCAGGCCAATAGCTTCTGCTGCTGGTGAGTCGTCATCTTCAACAAAAAAATTAGTCATTTGTGATAACTGATTTGCTCCGTTATTTCTCAGAAACATTGTTATACTCCTGTATTTTGTGTACACTCTTAAAAATAAAGCTTCTTTATTGGAATTGATGGTTCCATGAAGAACGTTTAATATCAGAGGTGCCTTTTAATTACACTAAAGGTTCTTTATAGTGCCAAAAAGGTTCTTTTGTTTCTTAAATTGCTTTTCACACAGAAAACAAATACCCTTTTAAGAACTGATAACTAAATGTTATTAGGTTCCCTTTCAATCCGTAGCAAGTTCGACTGGCGTAGTAATGTACCAACGAATTGGGATCTCACCTGAGAGCCCAATCACCTTTGAGTGTAAACTAAACAAGCCAATACATATTTGTATGCAAGATGTTTATGGCATGCTCTGACCTGCAGGGTGGGTATAAATTTGAAAGCGGGTGCACTCACAGTTCAGCTTTTTGTTTCTGAGCAGAGCACTTGTGGCGCTACAGCGGTAGTCACGATCTGCAAGAGCATTTTCTGCTGTTTCAATGAGAGCCTAAAAGAGCTTTCCTTTGGGCCGTTTCCCCCGTGGGCCTCAATTAACTTAGGTAACACAGGAGTTACACAGCGTCCTTTTAAAGTTGTTGTTCCACCCTTGCATCTTTGCATGTCATTGTTCCTGTCCTCACCTGACGGCCATGTTTGCTTCATTCGTGGGTGGTTCATGTAAAAGCACAGCCGTCAGTCTTCTTGACACTGTTGGGAGATCGAGGATCTCAGCGAGAGTTTATAGGCCAGGCAAAATCCCCATAGACTTCCCGCTCCTCAATGTGTCGTGTGCCATCGAGCCGCCGGCTGACAGCATGGGGTGTCACAGCAACCCAACACGTCACGAGCCGCTCTAGATAAGGATCCGGATGCCGAGAGCTGCATCGCAGAGATGGCTATTACACTCTGGAAATGAAGATGATGCTCAGCTTCCCACTGTAACGGTGTGCACATTTTGAATCAGATCAGAATAGTTGACAGTGTAGGATTACAAATTTAAGAATAAATCCTTTCATAATATCTCATGAAAAACTAAGGTGAACTACACTGTATTAGGCATTCAAGGAGAACATGATGGCGATCTCAGCTGCTTATCCTTCAAGCGGTCGGTGAAACACCACCCCTGAGATGTGCGACTTTGGAGATGGACAGAGCTGCTCTTTCCCCGGAGGAGGGACGGGTGGAGAATATTTTTTCAGTTTTGTTTCTGTTACACCACTGGCCACACAGCCAGCAGTACCCACATTTTCAATGAAAGAGCAGTGTCCTCTATCTCTTGGTCTTAAGGGGGCACTGTTGGTGGTGCACAATGCTATGCCTTACCACTCTCAGCCTTCTCTTTGTTGTCAGCCGGCAGCAGCGTGCGCTTTGAGGATGCTCCTCAAGGAGGAAGCCTCCTCAAGCACCCTCTGCACTACCAGGGAACCAGATAAGTATTGCACCACACACTCAGACACCACTTCAGGGGTCACTACTGGGGGAACACTTTGCCTTCAAAGGGAGGGCATATCAGTACAAAGTCCTCCCCTTCTGGGGGGAAATCCCGTCCCGTCCCAATGCCAGAATAATCTCTCCCATTCCCTCCCACTCCCGCCATTTGGTCTAGTCTGGGTTCTTAAAGGGTTAGTTCACCCAAAAATGAAAATTCTGTCAGTATTTACTCACCCTCATGTTGTTCCAACCCAGTAAGACCTTCGTTCATCTTCGGAACACAAAGTAAGATATTTAAGATATTAAGATCACTCCTGCATACTAGTCCATAGGTTTCTTGAGGGAATGACTCTTGCTGGCATCGAAAAGTCATTAAAGACATCGTTAAAATAGCCCAAGTGACTACAGTGGCTCAATTTTAACTTTATCAAATGACGAGAATACTTTTTGTGCGCAAAAACAAACAAAAATAATGACTTTATTTCAACTATTCACTTCCTTCTCCATGGGCCTGTAGTCAGTTAACATAGTGTGATTGCGAAAAGGGACTTCACACGTAGGCTCCCCAGATAGCAAACTGACATTGAATCAACGTGGAAACGACGTCTCTCATGACATTGAAACAACGTTGATTTGCTCATCGAATTAACGTTGAACCAACGTCAGACGCGGCATTCTTCAAAGCTAAATGAAATCGAAAATTGGTTTGCTTTCATAACGTTGAAACAACGCGTTGATTTCAAGTTGATTTTCCGTTAGTTTTGAAAGAATGACGCGTCTGACGTTGGTTCAATGTTAATTCGATGAGCAAAACAATGTCAGATCAACGTTGTTTCGATGTCATATTTCCACGTTGATTCAATGTCAGTCTGCTATCTGGGTCACTATTGGCCGACGCTGGTCATGTGTGTGATGCGTGTGACGTACAATAACAGAAGCTTACGCTATTAAACTAGTAACCTGACTCACGCAGAGGGAGAAAAAAACGAATAGTTGAAATAAAGTCGTTATTTTTGTTGTTTTTTTGCCCACAAAAGTGTTCTCGTCGTTTGATAAACTTAAGATTGAGCCCCTGTAGTCACTTAGACTATTTCAACGATGTCTTTAATGACTTTGAGGACAGCAAGTCATTCCCTCAAGAAGCTTATGGACTCTATGCAGGAGTGATCTTAATATCTTAAATATCTTAATTTGTGTTCCGAAGATGAACGAAGGTCTTATGGGGTTGGAACAACATGAGGGTGAGTACTGACAGAATTTTCATTTTTGGGTGAACTAACCCTTTAAGGGAAAGTAGCAGATAAGTCTTTGGGAATTTATAACCAGAAAACCCACATGCAGTGCTGCGTTAGTGTCTTCCTGAGACTTACACTAGGAACACACACACCACTGTGCGTCCCTGTCAGGTATACCTTTCTTACTCTTAGAGTCATTTTTGAGCAATTGATGTTAGGAATTGGCTTATAATTGTTTACTTGTGTAATTGGCTTGATACATTTGTACCTGACAAATACAATTCAGACTCTCCTGAAATCATTATGACCAGAGGCTGATGCTACCTCAGACCTGTGTCCAAGATAGGTCAAACCAGGTGCATGTATGAACGGCGCAGTAGGCATGTCATCTGAAGACCTTTTGATATCTGTCTATCATGACTTGGCAAGTTGTACAGAAGTGGCTAAATAAACTACACTTTTCTGTACACAAACACTAGGCAACCTACTAACGAGTTATTACTGACCAAAATCAGACTGGCAAGATAGAGTCTGTGAGATCCACGTAACCCAGGGCATGTGACTGGCATTGTGTCACTAATTAACAGATCACTGAAAGTGTGAAATCATATTTGATATATGATCAAAATCTTAATTTGATTTAATCTTAATTTCAAATTG